GCAACGATCAGCGCCACTTGGCGCGCTCACAGCCATTTGCCACGTGTCGCGTTCTGGATGCTCCCTCCGGATTTTGTTTTTTTATCTTTACGCATGCTTTTTCGGCTTTTTAAAAGGGTTTTTTCCGGGTTTTTTTGATGTTTTGGTTTTTTACCGGTCTTCCATAGCTTTCCGAGCAAAAAAAAATTGAAATTTTTTTTGCGCAAAAATGCATTTTTTTCCCGCGAGAGTCACGATCTTGTTTTCGCGAAAGGCACGGTTGTGCTTTCGCGAGAGGCACGGCCGTGCCTCTTGGAAACAAAAAAAAACGTGTTTTCTGTTTTTCTTTCTTTCGCGAGAGGCACGGTTTTGCTTCCGCGAGAGGCACGGTTGTGCTTTCGCAAGAGGGACGGGCGTGCCTCTTTCGAAAAGGGAAAAAACGCGTTTTCTGTTTTTTTTTCTTTCGCGAGAAGCACGGTTTTGCTTCCGCCAGAGGCACGGTTGTGCTTTCGCGAGAGGCACGGGCGTGCCTCTTTCGGAAAGGGAAAAAATGCGTTTTCTATTTTTTTTCTTTCGCGAGAGGCACGGTTGTGCTTTCGCGAGAGGCATGGGCGTGCCTCTTTTGGAAAGGAAAAAAAACGTGTTTTCTATTTTTTTTCTTTCGCGAGAGGCACGGTTTTTCTTCCGCCAGAGGCACGATTGTGCTTTCGCGGGAGGCACCGGCGTGCCTCTTTCGGTAAAGGAAAAAAACGCGTTTTTTGTTTTTTTTTCTTTCGTGAGAGGAACGGTTTTGTTTCCGCGAGAGGCACGGCTGTGATTTCGTCAGAGGCACGGGCGTGCCTCTTTCGGAAAGGGAAAAAACCCGTGTTCCCGTTTGGTTTTTTCGTCGGTTTTTTTCGTCCGGTTTTTTCATGAAAAAATAGTTTGTCAAAACCTATCAACATGGGATCTAGTTTTGAAGATCTCGACGCGAGGAATCCAATGGCGAAAGCGGTTCGAGATTTGGACGCACGGTTTAAGAGATAAAACATTTTGAATAAACGGATCTACGAAAAAAAGGGAAAACTCACAGGTTGCGATAAGTGGCGCACATGCAGCATGCCACTTGTCGCAACCGGGGGAAGTTGAAGTGATCTCCGCAAAGAATACTCCTGATTTCATTGTGAAGCATTCGCAGAAGTTGGAGGTGTGATAAAATGATTAGCGCCAGCACTTATAGATGTGGAAATAGGTGCTCGGGTCAAAAAAAATAACAATGTTAAAAATCGCTGTTGATCTCCCTCTCCGACTCAGAACATTCAATAGATAGATGAACACATTGCGCGAAAAGAACGTCCTTTCATCACAAATCTTGCATGAAAAGGAGAAATTAAAAAAATGAATTTGTTTTGCTATTTTTTTTCAAATTTATTGTTCATGGGCTGGAGCAGATTAGCCCAGGTCCGAAACGCTGCACTCCTTATAATCTATTCTTTCCTAAGCTCAAATCATCTTCTATGTAAAAACCCCAAAATAACCTTTTGATAAGTTGTGATGGCTTCATGCCATGTTACCAATGACATTGATTACTCTTTGTCTAACTCATAAGTAACATGCATAGGTTAATGTTTCATAGCAGACAACACCGCAAAGTTTATTAGTTAACATGTTATTACTAAATAGGCAATCTTTAGTAACCTATTTCAACTTGATGATACCACGCGCGTTGCGGCGGGAACTGGTTGCAATATATTCTTATGAAATTGACTATATGGAGCTCAAATATGTGAATTAATAATATCATGTGATTATTTTATAGTGTAAAACTTATTTTCATGCATGGTTGTGTATTGAGGTAGACATTTCTCCATGCATGCATGGTTGCATGTGCATTGAGTATGCTAGTTGGGTGGAGCATGCAATTAAAAAAGAGGGAATAATAATTGTTGAAGTAGCACGTGTGGTGAGATGGCATATCTGCATGTTGAGATAAATACGATAGTGGGGATCAACTTTTTATGTATGCATGATACACATGCAACATTTTCACGATCGATGCACGGGAAAGATTCACCTCAACTTGGAACTATGCATACGAAAAGACTCAACCGTTTATCCTACTTATATTAAATAATTATCTGATAACTATACATTAATCAAACACAACATGTCATATGTATTTTCAGTTTCAGTGCTCACATTATTAATCCAAATATACATGTCCCATACAACCAAATATCATTGAAATATATTGCAACCAATTTCTACATCAACCTGCAGTGTGTCATCAATTTAACACCATTAATTAATGTCTTTAGCATCTATTGGTAGTGCTCAGTGGTATGGCAAATAGTGGATATTTGGGGTGAAGAGATGATACACGTACCTTAGTGTCTAATTTATAGGTGCTAGGGATTTGAATGCTCTAAAGATGACAATAGTTACTAATCCTAACCCCTAGCAATGATGCAATTGGACAAGGTTTAAAATTTCTAATATGCTAGTGAATCACAATAAATGTGCAGTTCATGTTCTCAAAATCAATTTGGACAATCACATAATATCTTCACTGTTTCAACTTTTATTTTGTTTATCGAGAAAAATAATTACTACTCCTCACCCCTTGGAATCATGCACATGTATAAGTTTAAAAACAGTGCAAAACTATAGTTGTATGTGCAGTAGGACTGTAAAATTTCAAGATGAAATTCAATCAGACTGGTAAGTTTTAAAGAATCAACGTATAGTACTTCTTATCGTTCATGAATACCAAGCTTCATTAGAATACACCCCTCCTCGATTTTTTTTTTACATTCCAAAGAATTATACCCCGAACAATTTATTTATGCTTTATAGTTGTATAGCTGTGGGAAAAATACTTAAGAAAAATTGCATGTGTTATCTGCATGATTCTAACATTTTATCATGTATGCACACATTTGTCAGACCGACTTATTTAAAATATCAATTCTTGCCTACGAAAAGAACAATACCAATTTTACATCAAGGAAAAAATTAATTCACTTCTGTCTATTTACTTGACATGCAGCTGTTCCTGGTTTACCTATAATTGGGAATCTACTTCAGCTAACAGAAAAGAAGCCCCATAAGACCTTTGCAAAATGGTCTGATATGTATGGGTCAGTATACACCATAAGGACTGGGGCTTCATCTGTAGCTGTGGTCAACTCAACAGAAGTAGCCAAGGAGGTAATACGGAAATTGCATTTTCTTATCTTTCCTAAATTCAAATTGATAATAATTTCTGTTGTAGTAACATTAGATACATTTTGCAATTCTAGGTAACTGTCGCAGTTCGGCATTTTAGTATCTCTCCATTAATTCTGTAACACTCGTTACCAAGTCCATAATTTGTTATGGTTATCTTTGCATATCTTTCTCCTAGAAGACAACATAAAAAAAATGGAATGTTGCTATAAGTGTACACCCCACTTGAAGTTTATAGCTAACGATGGTTATTTTTATCTCTCTCATTGTCTCAAGGTGGAGATAAATAAGGATTCTAACAAGTTTTGTTACAAGAAAGGATAAATATGATTTGTTAACTGACCTCCTTTCTCAAATAACTACCCAAAAAAGAACTGAAGTTAAAAAGTAGCGCGACCTACACCAAACATGCATATTTTTTCTTGATTATATTAGTTTTTTTTGGAAAAGGGATAAAAAAAAACCCAGGCAATGCAACGATTGATGCACATAACCTTCTATTATTGCGAGGTCTTAACATCTAACATCTCACATGGGAGTGAACAAAGTACAATAGGCCAAGGGCCCCAAGGCCAAAACATGCTAAAACAACCAAATAAAAATATGATTACATGATACCTCATGCTTCACTAATTTTGTTAATGTGTTTCCATCAACATTCGTTGAATATACCCCTGAGCTACCGTCTCTCATAGCTAGGTTGCATCCAGAGTCCATGGGCACCCGATCCTCCTCCGCCGGGAGATCCAATTGGTAGCCTTGAATTTCACCTGCACAAAACTAGTAACTTTCGTTTTTTGAGGGAAAAATTAGGAACTTTCGGAGAGCGGCTATTCTGCATCCGGACTCATCTACACCCGTGTGCGAACAGTAAATTGAAAAAACGGTAAAATAATTCAAAAAGTATGGACATTTTTAGGCATCAAAGATGCTCATGTGAGCAAGGTTCGTGCAAAATTTCATGGTGTTTGGACATCTGAGGAGCTCGTGCAAAAAAATGGGTGTGTGAGAAACTTTGAGCAATAATACTATTCATAGCCAATTTTATTTTGGTATGAGCTCCTCAGATGTCCAAACTCCATGAAAACTGGCACGCACCTTGCTCACATGGCACTTTGATGCCTAAATATTTCAGATTTTTTTTTAAATTTACTGTTCACCAGGTGTAGATGAGCTCGGGCACTATTTTGAATTATCGGAATTTTCGTCCTTTTAAAAACACAATCATTATGACAGTACATATAGCCTAAACAAAGCAATGGTAGCTGCATGGTAGAAATATATCACAGTTGACCCTCTATTTTGAAGGCAATGGTTGCGAAATTCTCATCCATATCTACTCGAAAGCTACCTAAAGCAATATCAGTGTTGAGTCATGATAAAAAAATGGTTGCTACAAGTGACTATGGTGACTTCCACAAAATGGTGAAGCGCTTTGTTATGGCGGGCTTGTTAGGTTCTTCTGCTCAGGTATATAAGTCTAAACTGTTTCAAAGTTATACGATTTATTATACCACCTCTCAAATACGCTTGCAAGTTCAGTCAATTAAGATTTAACAATGAGATATTTGCAGAGGCAATTTCGGGAGACGAGAAACATGATGATGGATAACATGTTAAGCACTTTTCATACATTGGTGACCGATGACCCACATGCTCCTCGGAACTTTCGAGAAGTTTTCAAGGAGGAGCTATTCCGCTTATCGTTGATCCAGGATAGTCTCTCTACAAACGCCATGATTTAATTAGTCTTCCTACACGATAGCACCATACTTTCTGAATTTGAACAGTGAGGATGGTATGATTTAGCGTTCATGCTGCGCTTTCACTTTCAGAGTCTAGGTGAGGATGTAAGTTCAGTTTATGTGAAGGAGTTTGGGCGCGATATTTCGAAGGATGAAATCTACCAGATCATTGTGGCTGACATGATGATATGCGTCATTGAGATTGATTGGAGGGATTTCTTCCCGTACCTCAGCTGGATTCCAAACAAGAGCTTTGATACAACAGTTGCTACCACGGAATCTAGGCGAACCGTGGTGATGCGAGCCATGGTCGATCAACAGAAGGAAAGAATTGCACGCGGCAAGGTGGCAAAATCCACATATATATAGCTTTTAACAGATGTATTTTGTTGCTGGCCCGATTCTCGTCCGTTTGTTCACTGATGAAGTGATGATAACGCACAATCAATTTGTGATATGCAGGCAAAGGCATCCTATCTGGACTTTTTGTTGGCAGGGAACACATTGACAGATGACCAAGTAACGATGCTAGTGTGGGAGGCAATCATAGAGGGTGCAGATACTACTTTGGTGACGACCGAGTGGGCTATGTACGAGCTTGCCAAAAACCCCGAAAAACAGGCAAGCTACTCTTACCCTTCTAAGTTACTTGATGCTCTCGGGCATGCATTTTTAACACCAGATTTCTCATGGCAGGATCGTCTCTACCGGGAGATCCAGGAGGTGTGCGGCGAGGACATGGTCACGGAGGACCATCTTCTTCGGCTGCCGTACCTGAATGCCGTGTTCCACGAGACGCTGCGGCGCCATTCTCCTGTCTCGCTTCTGCCTCCAAGGTTCGTCCATGAGACCACCACACTCGCCGGCTACGAGGTCCAGGCCGGAACAGAGGTAATCTTTTTTTCTAAAGATACTGCTCATCATAACGGAAGGCGTACACTGATGCAAGTGCTGTCTGCTCACAAAAATGACTTGTATGTTTTGACCTTTGCCAGGTGATCGTCAATGTGTACGCGTGCAACATGGACAAGAAAGAGTGGGAGGAGCCCGAGGAGTGGACGCCGGAGAGGTTCCTGAACGACGGCAGGTTCGACGTCGCTGACATGTACAAGATCATTGCATTCGGCGCTGGGAGGAGGGTCTGCGCCGGGAGCGCGCAGGCCACAGGCATTTCGTGTGCCGCCATGGCGAGGTTCGTGCAGGAATTCGCATGGACGCTCAAGGAGGGCGACGAGGACAAGGTGGACACCGTCCAGCTCATGGGCTACAAGCTTCACCCCCTCTACGTGTATCTCTCGCCGAGGAGAGGGAGGCAGTGAAGCGCAGTTCTGGTTTGCTTGTTTGACAGTGGAGTTGGCCAAACAAGATGATATGGGTGCATGTTTTAATGATTTACCTCAACAATTTGTTCGGATTTTTACACTGTTTGCCTCGCGATTATTGCGCCGGAGCTTTTGGGGTTCAGGTCGGAACCAAAAAGAAGACTGTATCACGGTCACAGCTGCTTGGTTGGTTTTCGTAGCATCAAATTATTGCAGAGCAATGTGTTCAACAGTCAATAGTTTTTTAGACAATGGAATCTTTTATCAAGGAACAATGTGTTCAATGCTAGCGACAATCACATACTTTTTAGTACATAGAGGTAGAGATGCGTACATGACATAACTTCTCATCTACTACGGATGTTCTTCTCGACTCCTGTTGGGTTGAGCCCAATGGCAATCTCATCTATGTAGGTTTCGGTTCTTGACTCGTTGCCGGATCTAGAGTAGACGAAGGTTTGGTGGTATAGGATGGGGACCGGAGGAAACTTTAGTCGGCTGGTCCGGCCCGGCATCGGCGGCGTCCCTCAAACATTGTTACCCTTCCTGGAGGCGATGCCGAGGTCCCTCCGAACACCTCTGTGGCACCCCGCCTCAGAGCAACCGGTTTACCATGCATTGCCAGCTCAGAGACCTTGTCTTCTGACAACACACAACATCTTGGTACAGAAAACAACGCTTTATTAATGCTAGCGGAACAGAGTTTACATTATTCCAGTTGGCGAGGCCAAGCGGCACACGCGGTGCAGCTGAACAATATGTACATTATTTAGTGAACATAAAAGGGCCTCGATCACGATAACTACGCGGCAGCAGAACAACGTCATAGCGGAACTTCATAGCACAGGGACACTGATGTGGACACGATCTAGACTCGGACAACACTCCTTTCCAACGGGACATTCCTGAAATCTGGCATGACAAGCCAGGTCAATACATTTCAATGTACTTGCAAGCTCACAACAAGCATAAACATACTGACAAACAATATCATGACAATTAACCAATTCATAATAATGCAACAATATATTCAACATGTTGTGACCATGCTCTTGTGATAGAAGTCCCTCGGACTGGCTTACCAAACGTGATCGCTCTTGGATCATAAACGTGCCATCCTAGAGACATCTCGTGATCCTTCCGGCGATCACAACCACGACCAATATTTGGTCTCAAACAGTGATCCTTCCGGCAATCACAACCACGACCAATATTTGGTCTCAAACAGTGGTCCTTCCGGCGATCACAACCACGACCAATATTTGGTCTCAAACAGTGATCCTTACGACGATCACAACCACGACCAACATCTAGTCCAAATCAACATGATGGCCTTCCCGCCACCAACAATGCAAAATTCATACTTAGTGTGCAAGATTTATTATGGTGTGACCTACTTTCGAACGTGTCCTTAACCATGGACTCGGCTATCGATATATTAATACACTCTGCAGAGATAGCACACTGGACCCACACCACGGAACCCATGGCCTCGCACTCCCATTCGGGTGGACCAATGGCATTCCGACGAAACCCCTCCATTGCCATGACACTCTCCCGGCCACTCCGACTCACTCCCCATCGGGCTAGTCCTGGGTGGACACGTGTCTACCAAAGACACAACGACCACCGTCGTGGCCAAACATAAATGATCCCACACGGGGACCCGGTACCATAAACTCAATAACGGGCACACAAGGTTATGTCTGCTTACCGGGCCAGGGTACCGCACGCCCATAACCTTCCCTAGTTGGAGGCACCGACCAGAGGCATGACAACGGAACGAATAAAGGCCGTCCCATACCGACAAATGTGGTTGCACTGGGAAAAACTCGATTCAGCGGCACCATGACCTGGTCAGCAATGTATTCAAGTTGAGTTATTATCAGGTTCAACTTAAAGTGAAAATAACCGGCGTCATAATGCCATGACATGTAGCATTAACATATGCATCACATATCAACGGAACTAACTGAGTTAACTATATCCACACTGAGCATTACAACTCATGACACTTCTCTGTTTAAGATCAAACCTCACTTCAAACAAAATCTTTTCTAGCAAATTTATCATTTTTACTCATGCAAGAAAATAACTCCACTAATTATTTATATCCATAACCATATTATCCTTTCATCACCCAAAAACTAAATCCTTGTTAGTTTACCAACTAAGTTCACTTCAAACTTTCTGTAAATCAAGCATATTCACTTTAAGAAGCATCTAACAGAATATAATTAACATAATAATAATTTAAATGCATGGATAATCATTTGTTCAAGTAGAAAATCACAAATATTGTTATGGCACCATGAAAATGTTGATGTGGCTTGCCTTAGTGTAGATGAGGTTGTTGGGGAACGTAGTAATTTCAAAAAAATTCCTACGCACACGCAAGATCATGGTGATGCATAGCAACGAGAGGGGAGAGTGTTGTCCACGTACCCTCGTAGACTGAAAGCGGAAGCATTAGAACAACGCGGTTGATGTAGTCGTACGTCTTCACGGCCCGACCGATCAAGCACCGAAACTACGGCACCTCCGAGTTCTAGCACACGTTCAGCTCGATGACGTCCCTCAAACTCCGATCCAGCCAAGTGCCGAGGGAGAGTTCCATCAGCACGACGGTGTGGTGACGATCTTGATGTTCTACCGTCGCAGGGCTTCGCCTAAGCACCGCTACAATATTATCGAGGAGGACTATGGTGGAGGGGGGCACCGCACACGGCTAAGAGATCAAGAGATCAATTGTTGTGTCTCCAAGGGGTGCCCCCCTCCCCGTATATAAAGGAGTGGAGGAGGAGGAGGGATGGCCCTCTCTATGGCGCTCCCTAGGAGGAGTCCTACTCCCATCGGGAGTAGGATTCCCCCCTTCCAAGTAGTAGGAGTAGGAGTCAAGGAAAGGGGAGAGAGAAGAGAAGGAAGGAGGGGGCGCAGCCCCTCCCCCTAGCCCAATTCGGACTAGGCCTTGGGGGGCGCCCAACCTCTCCTCTCTCTTTCCCCTAAAGCCCAATAAGGCCCATATACTCCCCGGCGAATTCCCGTAACTCTCCGGTACTCCGAAAATACCTGAATCACTCGGAACCTTTCCGATGTCCGAATATAGTCGTCCAATATATCAATCTTTACGTATCGACCATTTCGAGACTCCTCGTCATGTCCCTGATCTCATCCGGGACTCCGAACTACCTTCTGTACATCAAAACACATAAACTCATAATATAACCATCATCGAACTTTAAGCGTGCGGACCCTACAGGTTCGAGAACAATGTAGACATGACCGAGACACGTCTCCGGTCAATAACCAATAGCGGAACGTGGATGCTCATATTGGCTCCCACATATTCTACGAAGATCTTTATCGGTCAACCGCATAACAACATACGTTGTTCCCTTTGTCATCGGTATGTTACTTGCCCGAGATTCGATCGTCGGTATCTCAATACCTAGTTCAATCTCGTTACCAGCAAGTCTGTTTACTCGTTCTGTAATACATCATCCCGCAACTAACTCATTAGTTACAATGCTTGCAAGGCTTATAGTGATGTGCATTACTGAGTGGGCCCAGAGATAACTCTCCGACAATCGGAGTGACAAATCCTAATCTCGAAATACGCCAAGCCAACAAGTACCTTCGGAGACACCTGTAAAGCACCTTTATAATCACCCAGTTACATTGTGACGTTTGGTAGCACACAAAGTGTTCCTCCGGTAAACGGGAGTTGCATAATCTCATAGTCATGGGAACATGTATAAGTCATGAAGAAAGCAATAGCAACATACTAAACGATCAAGTGCTAAGCTAACGGAATGGGTCAAGTCAATCACATCATTCTCCTAATGATGTGATCCCGTTAATCAAATGACAACTCATGTCTATGGTTAGGAAACTTAACCATCTTTGATTAACGAGCTAGTCAAGTAGAGGCATACTAATGACACTATGTTTGTCTATGTATTCACACATGTACTAAGTTTCTGGTTAATACAATTCTAGCATGAATAATAAACATTTATCATGAAAGAAGGAAATAAATAATAACTTTATTATTGCCTCTAGGGCATATTTCCTTTAGTCTCCCACTTGCACTAGAGTCAATAATCTAGTTCACATCACCATTTGATTTAACACCAATATTCACATCTGTATGTGATTAATACCCATAGTTCACATCGTCATGTGATCAACACCCAAAGGGTTTACTAGAGTCAATAATCTAGTTCACATTGCTATGTGATTAACACCCAAAGAGTACTTAGGTATGATCATGTTTTGCTCGTGAGAGAAGTTTAGTCAACGGGTCTGTCACATTTAGAGCCGTATGTATTTTGCAAATATTCTATGTCTACAATGCTCTGTACGGAGCTACTCTAGCTAATTGCTCCCACTTTCATTATGTATCCAGATTGAGACTTAGAGTCATCTGGATCAGTGTCAAATCTTGCATCGACGTAACCCTTTACGACGAACCTCTTGTCACCTCCATAATTGAGAAACATATCCTTATTCCACTAAGGATAATTTTAACCAATGTCCAGTGATCTACTTCTAGATCACCATTGTACTCCCTTGCCAAATCAAGGGCATAGTATACAATAGGTCCGGTCCATAGCATAGCATACTTTTATAGAACCTATGATTGAGGCATAGGGAATGACTTTCATTCTCTCTCTATTTTATGCCGTGGTCGAGATTTGAGTCTTACTCAATTTCACACATTTGCAACACAGGCAAGAACTCTTTCTTTGACTGTTCCATTTTGATCTACTTCAAAATCTTGTCAAGGTGTGTACTCATTGAAAATCTTATCAAGCGTCTTGATCTATCTCAATAGATCTTGATGCTCAATATGTAAGTAGCTTTACTGAGGTCTTTCTTTTAAAGAACCCCTTTCAAACACTTCTTTATGCTTTCCAGAAAAAATTCTACATCGTTTTCTGATCAACAATATGTCACTCACATATACTTATCAGAAAGGATGTAGTGCTCCCACT